GAACAGTTTTTTTTTCTCAACCTTGGTAATTTTAAGATGTATGGACTTCAACTCCCAAAATGTTGCCCAAAAAACTTGAAAATGTACCATGAAATCTTTGAACAAAAGAATGAAATTTCCACACGCTTAGTGTACAATCATCCTGTTCAAGCATCAAAATAGGTAGAGAGAATGCTGAGAAGGAAAACAGGATACAGGAAGCTAGTGGGGTCTCTGGTGCTCTCTGAGCCTGGTTGTTTATTTGCAGACGTTTCATTATCCAATTACATAACATCATCAATGCTATTATGCTAATAATCAAAGCTAGTACTGATGATGTTACCTAGTTGGGTAATGAAAGGTCTGCAAGTAAACAACCAAGCTCAGAGAGCACCAAGGACCCCACAATTCAGTCCTGAACTATAAATATAACTATAAACAATACAGGAAGGTGGTGGCTGGGATTTTTACAAAATGCTTGCTGTGCTAGAAGAAGTGGTTCTGGGATCTTAATAGAAGAAGGCCTTTGGAGAAAGGGATTATACTGTCATTTTTCATGAAATTGCTATGTCTAGGGCACTGTTTCTCAACCATGATAACTTAAAGATGGGTAGACTTCAAGTCCAGGGACAGACTTCAATTCTGGAATAGAATAGAATAGAATAGAATAGAATAGAATAGAATAGAATAGAATAAGAATAAGAATAAGAATAAGAATAAGAATAGAATAGAATAGAATAGAATGCAGGATGTAGAATAGAATAAGAATAAGAATAGAATAGAATAGAATAGAATAGAATAGAATAGATACTGGAATGGAATAGAATAGAATAGAATAGAATAGAATAGAATAGAATAGAATAGAATAGAATAGAATAGATATGGAGAATATAAGAATAGAATAGAATAGAATAGAATAGAATAGAATAGAATAGAATAGAATAGAATAGAATAGAATAATAGAATAGAATAGAATAGAATAGAATAGAATAGAATAGAATAGAATAGAATAGAATAGAATAGAATGCAGGATGTAGAATAGAATAAGAATAAGAATAAGAATAAGAATAAGAATAAGAATAGAATAGAATAGAATAGAACAGAATAGAATAGAATAGAATAGAATAGAATAGAATAGAATAGAATAGAATAGAATAGAATAGATACTGGATTGGACTGGACTGGACTGGACTGGACTAGAATAGAATAGAATAGAATAGAATAGAATAGAATAGAATAGAATAGAATAGAATAGAATAGAATAGAATGCAGGATGTAGAATGGAATGGAATGGAGTGGAGTGGAGTGGAGTGGAGCGGAGTAGAGTAGAGTAGACCTTGAAGGTCTTCTAGTCCAGCCCTCTGCTCAAGCAGGAGAACCTATACAATTTCAGACAAGTGACTATCTAATCTCTTATTAAAAACCTCCAGTGATGGAGCACCCATGATTTCTGGGGGCAAGCTGATCCACTGATTAATTGTCCTCACTGTTAGGAAGTTTCTCCTTAATTCCAGGTTGCTTCTCTCTTTGGTCAGTTTTCAACCATTGTTTCTTGTCCTGCCTTCAGGTGCTTTGGAGAATAACTTGACCCCCTCTTCTTTGTGGCAGCCCCTCAAATCCTGGAATACTGCTATCATGTCACCCCTGTTTCTTCTTCTCTTTAGACTAGCCAAACCCAAATCCTGCAACCATTCTTCATATGTTTTAGTCTCCAGGTCTTGGATCATCTTAGTCGGAGTCCATACATCTTAAAGTTGTCAAGAAGTGCTGGTCTAAGGTATTGGATAAAGACCCAGGGAGATCCATATGAAACTCATCACTTAGATAGATTCATTGGATGACTTTGTCAGTGGAATAATCTCCTCTAAAAAAACAACAACATTCAGTTAGACATGGAAGCTGCTCAGAATCACTCCAGAATAGATTCATCTCAAAATCACAATTGCAATTGGGGAAAAATCTTACTAAAATCCAGGTAGGAGAAAACGGAAACCCTTTTGAGCTGGAGATACAAAGCTGGGCAAATTTTTGGCCTTTTTTCCCAGCAATTCGGAGAAAAGGATGGGTGTCAGGAAGGAATTTGCAGAAGGGACGGGATTTGGGGACAAGGTCAGGGCCTTTCTAGGATGGGTGTGGAGACCAGATGGACTGCACATCCGGCTTATGCCACTGTCAGCCTTACCAGGAGAACCACACAGGAAATATAGCCAGATAAGCTAATTCTACTTTATTGTAAAACTACATTAGCAGAACTATGGTGCTGGAGAAGACTCCTGAGAGTCCTCTGGACTGCAAGGCGATCCAACCGGTCAGTCCTAGAGGAGATCAACCCTGACTGCTCTTTAGAAGGCCAGATCCTTCTAAAGTGGTCTTCCTCACAGAAATGTAGCCACTGTTTTTTGTATCTCTATTTTGAATGGGAAGTCACCTGGATCACGATGGCCCTTAAGAGATCTGGAAAGACCACTGCTTTCTGCAGAATTGAGAGCAAGGGGTATGTATGGCTGTCAAAGTTGGACCATAAGAAAGGCTGAGCGCAAAATAATTGAGGCCTTTGAACTATGGTGCTGGAGAAGACTCCTGCGAGTCCCCTGGACTGCAAGGCGATCAAACCGGTCAGTCCTAGAGGAGATCAACCCTGACTGCTCTTTAGAAGGCCAGATCCTGAAGTTGAGACTCAAGTACTTTGGCCACCTGATGAGAAGGAAGGACTCACTGGAGAAGAGCATAACTCTGGGGAAGACGGAGGGCAAGAGAAGAATGGGACGACGGAGAACGAGGTGGCTGGATGGAGTCACCGAAGCAGGAGGCATGAGCTTAAATGGACTCCAGAAGATGGCAGAGGACAGGAAGGCCTGGAGGAACGTTGTCCATGGGGTTGCGATGGGTCGGACAAGACTTCGCAACTAACAACAACATTGACAGAATCTTGCAAGTCTGATTGTGTAGACCTCCTGCCATCTCTTCTACACGCTGAGAAGCCAAGGAGGGCCCCTTCTCGGTGCACTTTTCCCTCCATTATACTGTTGTGGGCTATGCCAACCTTTTCTTCACCACGGACCCCCTTTAAATAACTTTTGTGGCCACAGAACTCGGCCACAGACCACCAAGATTTAGCTCAAGATTTAAATCATAACATTTCTTCTTTGTGGGCCCCCTGTGATGACATTGTGTGTGGAGAGGGAGAGTCTGCAGACCACAGGTTGAGAACCACTGGACTATGCTCTCTCTTATCCGACTGTTCCCTCAGCAGCATCTCTTTGCCATCCCTCCCCAGGTCATTCCCACATACAATTACAGGGACCTAGAAGCCTGGTGTAGATACTGGGCAAAACCAGGTTATTTTTCTAGTGAAGGGGAGGGGATGAATGGGGAGGTTAGGAGGAAAGCAATCAGTGCCGGAACTGAATTTGGACATCAAGCACTGATTTTGCTCCCTTGGTTCTTTTCAGAAATCAAAAGGATTACTAACTTCGGTGAACGTTGTGCTCCAGCTGAAAACGAGGGGAGGGAAGCTATTCCCCTTGTAGTGGACCTGTTTCTAAACAAAATAATGTTTTCCAATGCTTAGAAGTTTCTACTTTCCCTGAAGGCTGAGCTTGTCCAGAGGAGCATGGGAGGACTCCATTTTCATTTGTGCTATTCTTTAAACACTGGCGATTTAGAACTGGGCTGTTTGGTTTGCACAGTACTGATACACATCAATTGTTAACAAGCAGTGCCTGGCACTGAACTGTGAGACTTTCCACTCTATCGTGAGATAAGAGTTGCCATGCCCGGCTCTCTTTTGAACAGAGCAGATGAGGTACCTGCCCACTTTTACTGAGAAGGTCTGTCACCAATGGATGAAAAAAGCAGGAGAAGCTTTGGACCTTAAGTGATTGGGTCGGTTAACGTGCCCATCATTCCTCACGGGCTTTCGGGGAGCCAGTTCCAAGATCCAGAGTTCTGGAGAGAAAAGACGGGAGTGAGGTCTAGATTTTCACTCAGCAACAGAGGAAATTTAGTCTATAAGAAGTTTGCCCTTCATATTTTCTAACGTTCTACAATCTGGCCCTTTAAACATGGCGAGCAAAATGGCACAAAATGGTTGCATCCTAGTTTTTTGAAGGAGATCGTGGTGACGTCACAAGCAGATTTACTTTTCAATTCCTTTCCTAAGGATTCTCCCATATGAAACTCGCTTCATTCCTAGCAGTTGCTAGGACAAGAAACAATGGATGGAAGCCTATCAAAGAGGGTGAGAACAATTAATCAGTGGAACGACTTGCCTCCAGAAGTTCTGGGTGCTCCATCACTGGAAGTTTTAAAGAAGAGATTGGGCAACTGTTTGTCTGGAATCATGTAGGGTTTGTTGCCTAAACAAGGAGTTGGACTGGAAGACCTCCAAGGTCCTTTCAAGTTCTATTGTTCTGTTATTTAGAAGAAAGAAAGAAGGGAAGAAGGAAGGAAGAAAGGAAGGAAGGAAAGAAGGAAAGGAAGGAAGGAAGGAAGGAAGGAAGGAAAATAGGAAAGAAGGAAAGGAAGGAAGGAAAGAAAGAAGGAAAGAAGGAAAGAAGGAAAGGGAAGAAGGAAAGAAGGAAGGAAGGAAAGAAGCATGGAAGGAAAGAAGGAAGGAAGGCCCCTTCTCAGAGGTGTGATGTAATTCGCTTTTATTCCTCTGCTCACTTTATTCATCTCTTCCAATACCCTTCTCCAAAGATTGTTCATCTCAGACCTACATAAGGCAGTGTAACATTTGATTTGAGAGCTAAACCAAATAGATTATGCACAGGAAAAACAATGGTATAATGGAAATAAAATATATTTTAAAAATGTGCCATGCGCATAACTGCAAGTGAAAAGAAGGTTCAGAACAGTCACTACCAAACTATTGTATTTTAAGGGTGCCACCATCCAGCCAATAGACGCCTCCTTGTACCCTTGGTTTATGATTAACAAATATTTCAATAGTCCACACCTCAGAAAATGGTTTTGGCTGAGCTAATTGTACAGGTAGCCAGAGAACTGTTGGTGATATCTGATAATGGATGAAGGAGTCAACTCTTTGTTGACTGGCTTGGCTGATAAGTAAAAGTCAAAGCCCGTATCCCACGAGCTCCAATTCGAATTTGCTCTTTCCCAGGGAAGCATCTTCTGTTTCTTATCCTGAGCGTGAAAATGCTAGTGACCATGCTGAGGACCTTGGCCACTCTGACAGCACTTCTAGGTAAGGCTTATACGATTTGGCAGTTGAATTCAAAACGAGGGGAAAACGATGGAAAATGAATGCGTTTTAAGACATTCAACTCTGAACATCAATGTGATATTCGGGGATACAGAAAAGTTGAGGATGACGTTCAAAGATTATCTCCTTCGGTGATTCTAGTTTGGAGCCTTCCCAGTTCTCCAATGTATATGTAGTTTTATTCCTTTATTTCTGGGTGCTGTTGGAATTCTGCTTGGATAGCAGGATTCTGGTGGGGACGGTAACTTTCTAGGCTAAGCGCCTTCTCTTCTGGGCTTTGAATGATCCTAAAAAGATGCTTGTCTTCCAGAATCTTAGACGTTAATGCCACTCTGATTTTGTTCTGAATGTTGGGGTTTATTGAGTAATAATGTTTATTGCATGTTTCACATGGTTTTTTTAAAAAATGGCGTATGCATGTTTTAAGAAATGGGCTCTTAATGTGTCAGCTCAATTGCTTACTGGGTAGGGAAGTGATCTGGGGAGGAGAAAAAAATACATATAAATTCAACTTTTGGTTGCAGGAACTGGGCATGTCTAGTCTAGAGAAAAGAAGGATGAGGGGTGACATGATAGCAGTCTTCCAGTATCTCAGGGGTTGCCACAAAGAAGAGGGAGTCAAGCTATTCTCCAAAGCGCCTGAAAGCAAGACAAGAAGCAATGGATGGAAAATAATCAAGGAGAGAAGCAACTTAGATCTAAGGAGAAATTTCCTAATGGTGAGAACAATCAACCAATGGAATGGCTTCCCTTCTGAAGTTGTGGGTGCCCCAACACTGGAGGCTTTCAAGAAGAGACTAGATAGCCAAATAATAATAATAATAATAATAATAATAATAATAATAATAATAATAATATAGTTGGAAGGGAGCTGTCATCTAGTCCAACCCCCTGCTCAGGCAGGAAACCCTATACCATTTCGGACAAATGGCTGTCCAGTCTCTTCTTGACAACTTCCAGTGTTGGAGCATTCACCGCTTCTGGAGGCAGGTTGTTCCACTGGTTAATTGTTCTGACTGTCAGGAAATTTCTCCTTAGTTCTAGGTTGCTGCTCTCCTTGGTCAGTTTCCACCCGTTGCTTCTTGTCCTGCCTTCAGGTGCTTTGGAGAATAGCTTGACTCCCTCTTCTTTGTGGCAGCCCCTGAGATACTGGAACACTGCTATCAGGTGCCCCCTCGTCCTTCTCTTTATTAAACTTGATCAGGGGGTAGATCTCCAAGATCCCTTCCAGCTCTATTCTGATTGATTGAACTAAGAAGAAAGTTAGAAAATTTCCCGTGTGAGGTCAACTTGTGTGGACAATGGACTGAAACTGAATTGGGGCAGATGGAGGTTCTGAGGGCCACCCTTGGAGAAGAGACAGCCCTCATTCTGGCACATCATCCTGGAAGAAATGCAAGTGAGGATGTTTCTGGATCCCTGGTCTCCAAGACAGAGGTTGTGACCAAGAGTGGCTTATCAGCATTGGTTATGCTTTCAATTCCATCCTCTGCAGAAAGAAAATTACTTCAATTACCTCTTACCTGTGGTGTAAAAAATGCAGATTTCCAAACTTGACTCCTCTTATGTGCTCTGCATGGAGCTGAGCCTGGATCTAGTCCAGAGAATTCATTTAGAGATCCCAGGGTCCGGGTTGATCTTTTCAGATGTATCCACCCTGTTGGAAAGAAAAGCATGTTCCTGTATATATGAATGGTCTTGAAAGCAGGCATTTAGCCAGAGCAAAGTTTAGTGAGCAAGCTTCTAACCTGGACAGAAAGAAAAGGTGAATTAAAGAAATATAAGAAGGGGTAGGAAACAGATGGATCTTGGTTCCTATTGTTTCCATCATTCTAGCAGATAGAACCTCTGAGATTTTGGAGAAGGAAGGAAGGAAAGAAGGAAGGAAGGAAGGAAGGAAGGAAGGAAGGAAGGAAGGAAGGAAGGAAGGAAGGAAGGAAAGAAAGAAAGAAAGAGGAAGGGGGAAGGAAAGAAAGAAAGAAGAGGGAGGGAAGGGGGAAAGAAAGAAAGAAAGAAAGAAAGAAAGAAAGAAAGAAAGAAAGAAAGAAAGAAAGAAAGAGAAAAGAAAGGAAGGGGGAAGGAAAGAAAGAAAGAAGAGGGAGAGAGGGAAGGAGGAAAGAAAGAAAGAAAGAAAGAAAGAGGAAGGGGGAAGGAAAGAAAGAAAGAAGAGGGAGGGAAGGAGGAAAGAAAGAAAGAAAGAAAGAGAGAGAGGGAGGAAGGAAGGAAGGAAGGATCAAGATGAAGCTAACATTTGGAAACTCCAAAAACAGGCAGAATGAAAGAAAGAAAGGGAAATTAAACCTTCAACTCTTGCTACAGTCCATAGATGTCTGCAAGGTATGGTAAAGAAACTCTAGATGGTAGCCACAATGGTGCAATCAAAGTGCCATAATGTTTTGGGTGTGTCAGGTGTGCAATATACCGTTGTGGCCGACATAATAGTATTTTAAACACTCACTGGATATTCTGCTCCATTCCACTGTTTCTTGCCATCGATAGCCTGAAAAGTGTCACTATTACCTTAGTCATATCGGGAGCACCAAAGCTCTTCCAGGTTGAAAGGATTGAACCATGGCATCACCATTGCCCAGGGGATGCCCATTTGGGGGCTCCTTTCATGTCCCTCTTAAGCTGCCCACCGAAGTGGTACCTATCTATCTATTTGCAATCTCCCACTTTCAAACTGCCGGGTTGGCAGGAGCTGGAGGTGTGTGATGGGAGCTCACCCCATTCCGCAGCACCAACAGGGTCTCAAACACAAGCCTGCCGATCATCAGCCCAGTATCCTAAACTCGTGAGCCAACATGCTCTCCGAAAAGTGCTATAGAGGCAGGCTGGATTCACACAACATGTCAAGCCAGACACAAAAAGAGAGAGAATGAAAAGTAGGCTCAGTATGTTTTCCAAATGAAGCTTTAACAGATGGAGAAGACTCACCAAGAGATGGCTTCTGAACCAAATACAAAGAGACGGGATCCCTCTTTCTACCCTCTCCATTCACTTAAACCATGTAAACTGCACCCTAATAGCCACAGGATCCATCTTGCTCTAATTCGGGATCAAGTCTGTTCTGCAGATGGCCCAGTTCCTTGAAACTTATTTCTTCCTGGCTTGCTGAGTTGATACGTATAAATTTTCCACTGATTTTTTTTTTAAAAATTGCCTTTTAGAATAGGCCAATAATTTTTGCTATTCATCTTTGGTTTTTAATGATTCTTTAATATCTCTCCTTTTAATCTACACCATCTTGCAAATTGGCGACAGTTCTTGCTTCTTGGCTGCATACTAAGACTGATTATTTGATAGTGAATTCTTGATCTCAGCTTTCCCCATCAGATCTCTTCAGATGGTTTTGACCACAGTTTCTCTAATTGTGTATGTACAAAAAAAAAAAAAAATCTCAGGTCCTGAAGAGTCATAAATGAACACTGCAGGTGTGTGTGTGTGGGGGGGGGGTGGCAAACTTTTTTTTTAAACCACATTTTTCACTATTACATGTAACAATGAGCTTGTAAATTTGTGGTTTGAAATGAAAAGCAGCAATCCAAGAGGAAAACCCAACTTCTCCCTCGGCTTGGAACAACCATTGCATCCATCTATTATGATCACACCGTCCTCTCTATATTTTAATTTATATGCATGTTTATCTCTGTTATTAATTTTTTTTAAAAAAGAGGCATGAAACTTGGATAATGTTGGTTTTGATGTTGGGCCGAGATGTACGGTCTGACCCAAGATGAATAACCAAGCTGGAAGGAACCTTAGAAGTCCTCTAGTCCAACCCTCTGCACAAGCAGGAGATCTTTATACCATTCCAGGCAAATGTCTGTCTAATCACTTCTTGAAAATCTTGAAGACCTCCAAGGCTGATTCTGATTCCAGAGCACCTCAGATTCTATTACATCATCATCATTATCATCATCATAATCATAATCATCATCAAGTTGGAAGGGACCTTGGAGGTCATCTAGTCCAACCCCTTGTTCAGGCAGGAAACCCTATACCATTTCAGACAAATGGCTGTCCAATCTCTTCTTAAAAACTTCCAGTGTTGGAGCATTCACAGCTTCTGGAGGCAAGCTCTTCCACTGATTAATTGTCCTAACTGTCAGGAAATTTCTCCTTAGTTCTCGGTTGTTTCTTTCTTTGGTTAATTTCCATCTGTTGCTTCTTGTCCTGCTTCTAGGTGCTAATGCAACTTTAATGCGAGAGTTCGTAAATACATCTTTACGACTAAACATAAATGCTATGATTCTATCATTGAATGGTGCTGCAGGGTCTCCCCACTTCAACAGCTTTAGGTTGTGTGGACTTCAACTCCCAGAATTCCCCAGCCAGACAGTGTACATTCTAGGAGTTGAAGTCCACACATCTTCAAGTTGTTACAGTTGAAAAAATTTGGTTTATTGTACCGTGCAAACAAACTCTACCCTTCCAGGTACATACTGCAAGAAGCCATGGTTTGGTTTAACCATAACTGGTCACCTAAGGATTTTCCATAGTATAGTATAGTGTAGTGTAGTGTAGTGTAGTGTAGTGTAGTGTAGTGTAGTGTAGTGTAGTGTAGTGTAGTATAGTATAGTATAAAATATAATAATGTAATGTAATGTAATGTAATGTAATGTAATGTAATGTAATATAATATAATATAATATAATATAATATACCCATAAACCAAAGGGTTCTGTTAAGGCTCATCAACTGGGTGAACCCAACCTACCAGTCACTTAGCTACTTAAGTATTAAGTCAGTGCTTCAAATGCTGACCACAGTGGCACAAGGAGAGAGTTAGTAACTCCTCATTTTCCTTCCACCCTCTCCCCTAACATTAGCAGAAAGGATAACTGACAAATGTGCAGAGGGCTTGCCTTGCTATCCCTTTTCCTCCTCTTTGATCTCAGTTGGGCCATTCTAGAAGACGCAAAGATTCCTCTGAGTTGCACTTAACTTCTAGGGACTCCACTGAGTGGAGCGTTTTGTGTTTTTGTTTTGTGCTTTTCAGAAAAAGAGCAGGACTTTCCAATATCTGACCACAGAGCTTCCATCTGCTGTTTCATTTGGCCTTGATTGTGAGATTATTCAGTTGACTTTCCTTATCTAAATCCTCCCACTGCTCAAGTGTATTTACTGGCAGGGCCCTGCATAACAGTTGTTAAGTTTGTTTTTGCATCTCACAAGGCTAAGACTCAGACGACATCTGCATACAGGTAGTCCCTGACGTACGACAGTTCATTTAGTGACCCTTCAAAATTACGATGGCATTGAGAAAAGTGGCAGTGACATTTTTCAACGTATGACTGCTGCAGCACCCCCACTGATCATGTGATCCAAATTCAGTTGCTTGGCAACTGGTTCATATTTATGACAGTCACAGCGTCCCGGGGTCATATCCCCTTTTACAACCTTCTGACAAGCCAAGTCAATGGGGAATCCAGATTCACTTAACAACCGAGTTACTAACATCAACTGCAGTGATTCACTTAACCACTGTGGCAAGAAAGGGGCAAAATTCATTTAACACTTAACAAATGTCTCCCTTAACAACAGAAATGTTGGACTCAACTGTGGTTGTAAGTTGAGGATTACCTGTATTTTCTAGAGCAGCATTCCTATCTGACGTTAATTCATAAAAGTAAAGCCTTCTTTGAATTGAATGGGAATTGGACTTAATTCCTATTGACTCCAACGACGTACCCAGGTTGTTTTCTTGCAGGAATTTGCGTCACATTCTAGCCCAGAGCGGGTGTGTCAGATAGGCTCATTTCTGAGATGTTTGGACAAAAACTGGGATATAAATCCAATAAAAAGCAAGGCATTAGCCTGGCAACCAAATGTGTTCCCCATAACTACCTATGGTTATGTACATAGACACACACAAACACACATAGAGAGACAAACATACATACATACATAGATATATATATAGAAGCATGAAGCCGAAAACACTAGCCTGAAGATGACGAATGAGACTTCGTCGAAACGTCGCCAAGACACTTCCAATTTGACGTGGGAGAAAACCCGAATAACCAAAGATCTACATACAAACACCCGCGAAAACCTCAGAAAACAAACAAATGTGTGTGTGTGTGTGTGTGTGTGTGTGTGTGTATATATATATATATACACACATACACACACACACAAACACACACACACACACACACACATACATACATACATATAAAATCAATCTATAAATCATTATATTACTTGGACTCAAACTAAGTTCAAAAATATAGTCCTTGTTTAGTGACTGCTTTGTTTAGCAACCATTTGCAGTTACAATAGCGTTGAACAGTAAGTTTACTATCAGTCCTCCCACTTAACCACCTTTGCCTAATGACATCACAACCTACTTGTTGCTATTCTGTCTCCCTCTATAGAGTTCTGTTGGATTGGCCTATTTTGAGATAGATTTTGATGTCAAGGCTATGAATCCCTTGATGCCCTCATCTGCTTTTTCCCATCTCTTCCATGAACGCGGTCCCCGGATTTTCTTTTTAAATACATGGCTAGGAAGATAATGGCTATAATTTTTCCATCAGGTTGGCATATAATCCAAAATACCTGCATTTGGTTGAGACGCTTCAACTAGCCAAGGAACGAGAGATTGCTTTCTGAGACAGAGATTGGAAAGGGGTGACATTTCAGTTCCTGAATACAACTAGACACTTGGTTGATTTTTGTCCTAATAGATTGATTTTCCACAGGTCTTGTGAAGGGTGTGATTGTGACCATGCCAAAGAATGCCACGAATACAACAGTTGGTGCCAACATCACCCTTCCTTGCCTGTATAATACAGCAACGACTCCTGATATGATTCAATGGAATTTTTATGGCAATGATCTGCAAACTCCTGGAGTAAGACATTAAGCTTTTATTTCAAACTTGAACTGTTATTTATTGCCTGGTTAAGATTGTTTTGAATTCTGAACGCTATGAGGAACACAGTCTAAACTTTGGTAATGTTTCATGACCAAACTAGATAACATCCTCAGTGCACTGATGGTTTTATCTAGTTTGGTAATGAAACATTTGCAAGAAAACCACCAAGCTCAGAGAACACCAAGGATCCCACAGCTCAGCCCTGAGTTACAAATATTCTCTTCTTTGGTACAATCTATTGTAGTTCAGTAGGAGGGTCTCCACTGAGTTTAAAGTGTTTTTATTTACAAGGAGTGACCAGAGGTGTACTTCAGCAGAGAAGTAATGAGTCCAAAGTAATCCTATTGCCTTTACTTGATTCTTTAAACTGATCCATTTTAAGCCAGCAGGGAAGCAATCAGTCTTGGCTTCTAAAGGCTCTCTTGTTTGCTGTTATGCTTAGAATGCTAAAAACTTTAAATTTGGGGGGTACTATCAGATATTCTTCATCAATTAATATCCCTTCACCAGGACAGAATCTATTATATATATTATTTGATTGCCCAACTTAATCCTTAATCCTAAATCAATCTTTTTCAATTGTGTGCCCTTTGGGATTTGTCGAACAGATATGACATACATTTCAATGATTTTTTTAGCCATGGACCATCCTGGCTGAGAATTATGAAAGTTGTGTTCTATTATAGCTGGCAGCTCTCCAGGTAGGAATAGCTGGACTACATAAAACAGAGGAATATTTGTCCCCTGTTCTTTGGTTATGAGGACAACACATCAGATCTTCTCTGGCTATTCTCTATGTTAGAAATTCTATTTATATAAAGCACCATACAGAGCAAACAAAGAGTACAGTCACCATGTGCTTTACTGCTCAATATCTAACTGAAACAGGAAACTCTACTTAGAACAAAAGAGCAGAGAGTATATATACCATAGATCCAAATTTGTATATGCTGCCATCTACTGGCTGAATACTACAGTACTATAGTTGTTGCATAGAAATACATTCCAATGATGAATTCCATCACCCTACTTCCTAATCCAGTGATGGCAAACCTTTTAGAGACTGAGTGCCCAAACTGCAACCCAAAACCCACTTATGCATCGTCGAGTGCCGGATGGGCGTGGCCCATTGGGTGGGCGTGGCTGCGGTGGTAATGGCAGACGGGTGGGACTAAAAAGTTCAATCAATCAATTCCAACTTTGCAAGATCTTTTGTTTTCCCCTCAAGAAGTTGAAATTGACTGATTGAACCTTTTTTTTTTTTTTTTTGCACACGGTGGCGGAAGCCTAAAGCAAAAAGGTTTTATAAAACCCAGCTGAAGGCCTAGGACTAGGGCAATGGTGCGCGTGCCCACAGAGAGGGCTCATGCCATAGGTTCGCCACCACTGTCCTAATCATTGGCTTTGCTGATAGTTGAGTAAGGGTGGCATTTTTTTTATTAGTGCCTATTTTTGCTGCACACCAGTAACATTCATTCATTCATTTATTTTTATCCCACCTTTATTATTTTTATGAATAATTCAAGGTGGCAAACATATCCAGCATACATTTTCAATGGGTCTTCCTCCTCTTATGTTCTCAAAACAGCCCTGTTGGGTTGAGAGAGTGACTGGCGAAATGTGACCCAGTTGGCTTTCATGGCTAAGATGGGACTTGAACTCACGGTTTCCCACTTTCTAGCCGGGTGCCTTAACGTAGAACTCTAGTGTTGACAACTGCCTCTACAAGATGGGCAGAATTAAAATCCCAGGAGAGGAAGTTAAAATAAACAGCAGTCCTGAGACTCAGAGCTGCAGTCCTTTAGCTCTGATCATGGACTCTGAATGGTGACTTTAGCGCCCAAAAGGGGACGGAGCAACCTTAAAATGAAAATCCATATTGCTCACATTAAAAAGAGTGCTGTGTTTTTTTTAAAAAAATCCAAGTCACCAACTCATAGACTAGCACATTTCTACTCAAATGCAGCCATCAACATGCCTTTATAGGGGTGAAAAGTCCACCAGTCACTGTGGAAAGACTGTGTCTATCACAGATACACGGGGAAGATGTAGCGAGATTCACAAGGTAAGAACGTGAAATCTACAAGAATAATACGATTGTTTGGGATTTCTGATGTGCTCTTTATATAGGTAGCCCTTGACTTATGACTGTAATTGAGCTTGGTCATCAGAGTCATGCGTCGTAATGGTTCTAAAGTGGTCACCCCTGTGACCAACCCGATTTTAGGACCTTTTTTCCCAGTGGCCATTATGCAAACATTGCAGTTGTTAAGCCCAGCGTTCACTGTGGGTTTGTTTTACTGAAAACCAGAAGTAAATGCCAGTTATAAGCAAAACCATCATAAAGTGCAATGATGAACCAGGGATGCTGTAAACTGCTGCTTGTTGCTGAGTGTTCAACACATGTTGATGACCACAGGTGCTCATTGGAATTTAGGAGCTGGTCATAAGTCAAGGTCTATCTGTACATTTTTGTTAAAATCTCAGGTGAGTTTCTGGAATTCAGCTCTTCACATTCTCTTCTAGCAATAATGATGTTCCCTAGTTGGTTAATGAAATGTCTTCAAGCTCAGAGAGCACCAAAGACCCCATAGTCCTCCTCCTTCTTGTCCCATCTCCTCTTCCTCCTCCTCCTTTTTCACTCCACAAACCCCACTCCTTTCTAGCACTGATGATGTTACCTTGTTTGGGTAATGAAACGTCTGCAAGAAAACAAGAAAATTCAGAGAGCACCAAGGAGCTTCTTTTCTTCTTTTTCTTCTTCTTCTTCTTCTTCTTCTTCTTCTTCTTCTTCTTCTTCTTCTTCTTCTTCTTCTTCTTCTTCTTCTTCTTCTTCTTCTTCTTCTTCTTCTTCTTCTTCTTCTTCTTCTTCCTCCTCCTCCTCCTCCTCCTCCTCCTCCTTCTCCTCCTTCTTCCTTCTTCCTTCTTCTTCCTCCTCCTCTTCTTCTTCTTTTTCTCCTCCTCCTCCGCCTCCTCCTCCTTCTTCCTCTTCCTTCTTCTTCTTCCTCCTCCTCTTCTTCTTCTTTTCTCTTCTTCTTCCTCTTCTTCCTCTTCTTCTTCTTCCTCCTCCTCCTCCTCTTCCTCCTCCTCCTCCTCCTCTTAGTTAAGTCCATCCTCTTTGGCAGAAATGACAGCTATAATTCTCATAGCCAGGATTGGTTTTCCTTATGCTTCCTTACAGAACCTTTCTAGTTCAGAAATATTTTTTAGATCTCCTTGCATGCATTAGATGCCAGGAATCTCCTCCACAGATTTTTAATAATTAAGTTGGGGACAGTGAAGGCCATTCTAAATGCTTTTATCTGTTTTATTTTCCTGTAAATACTTCATAATTAACCTGGAACTCTGGTTTTGCTGAAGCATCCCAGGAAACCTAAGGACATTCCTGCATTAAACGAAATCTAGTTAACTAGTTGATCAGTGATGCATGCAACACCAATGTACAGTTATTAAAAGACAGGTGGAATTTTAATATATGTATTTTACTGTTTTGTGAACTGACCTGGCAACTTATCTTTTTTTTTTTTTTTACAGGCAGGCTCAAAATCGGGAGCAAACCAAATAACCTCATTATTATTATTTTCTTCCACCACCGATTTGATGAATGTTAAATTCTGTTTCACAGATTTATATTTGGCAGTCTGGCAAATCTTATTACCTTGGACAGTTTAAGGGCCGAAGTCAAGTAGCAAACAACACGGGAAATGCAAGCCTTTCCATCTTCAACATGCAGCCCTCAGACACAGGGGTGTATAGGTGTTCAGTTTACAATTTCAAGGACGGTACCGCAAATGAAGGTGAAAAATCAGTGTTGGTCAGCGTGCTAGGTACTTATTTCTCTTTTTCTTCTTTAGTGGGTTTCTGTGCTCGTTACCTGCTACGTTGAATTAAAGGTTCAGTGATTGGGTTCCACCTCAAGCTAAGCCCAAATATGTTTTGCATTCTGTTCTGGCTAAGCATATTGAATGTAAGAGCCGTGATGGTGCAGTAGTTAGAATGCAGTATTGCAGGCAAACTCTGCCCACTGCCAGGAGTTCGATCCTGACCAACTCAAGGTTGACTCAGCCTTCCATCCTTCCAAGGTTGGTAAAATGAGGACCCAGATTGTTGGGGGCAATGTGCTGACTCTGTAAGCTGCTGTAAAGCACCATGAAGCAGCGTACAAATCTAAGTCCTAAGTATTCACTCACTGTGGTTGATCAACCACTGTTTATGGCTTAATACAGTATGTAAGCCTGGTTAGCCAACAAGCTATGGCTTAAGATGGTCTGTGACCCAATCTAGAGATGTATACTTGAGCTTCTGGTTAACTATCAACAGAGTTCATACCTTGCATTGAGCCATCATGTGTGTCTATCAGATTTGACAAAGTGTATTGTGTGAACTTGTTTCATTGAGGTTTATTAAACAAACCATGATGTAATGTCATAGGTGAGTCACTTTGTAAAAACAAATCTTGAGTGCAGCCAAATAGTACAGTGTTCGAATCCATGCAATTGGCCAAACATGTGGCTTAGTGTGTTGTGTGACTCAACCAAATTATGGTTTATGTTATATAAATGCATCTGGTTGTGATTTATACATTAAATCATGGTTTAACAAAGAACAGCTTGGTCCAAGATGTGACTGTAGTCAATTATACTTCCTGCTCAGGATTCCTCTCGGCTCTCCTGCCATCCAAGGAAGGCAATTTCCATTTTTCTTCTAAGCATTCCAGAATTATAAAGACTTTTCTGATCTTATAGAATTATGTACCCGTATTAGGCGACCCGGCGTATAAGGCGACCCCCGTCTTTATCGCCAGGTCACCTTCCTAGAACGTCGTCTTATACGCCAGAAACTACCAGTATTTCCGGCGTATAAGACGACTCGGCATATAAGATGACCCCGTCTTTGGCGCCGAGTTTAGCGCTTCCGGAAGTCGTCTTATACGCCGGCATATACGGTATTTTTCTTGAGTAAGAGTTACGTCCTTTCACAGTTGGCAATTCTGAGCGTTAAAACCCACATATCTTAAAAGTTGCCAAGTTTGAAAGTTGCTAGTCTCTATCCACTGCTGATATATTTAAAACCTTAAATATAGAATTAAAGAATTACTAAAGTATAAGAAGAGCTGTCTCCCAATTTGAAAAGCAGGTGCCCAATGCATCACAAAGGCACCAGACTGCAAAAAGAGTCCCCTAGAACAGCAGTGCCCAAATTTTTTGGCACCAGGGACGAGTTTCATGGAAGATTATTTTTCCATGGACTGGAGACAGGGAGGAGGAGCGTGCCATCTAGATCCCACGCATGTGCGGTTTCGCTCATCTTCAGCTGTGCGGCCCGGTTCCTAAAAGGACACAGCCCGATACCAGTCCATAATACCAGTCCACTGTCCTAGAACAGAGTTCCCCAACCTTTCCGGGAGGAGGAGGAGGGGAGGGTGGGAAAGGGAGGGGCAGGTGCATGTGCACGCGTGCGCATCCGTTGCTTGTGCAAGTGGGACTGAGAGCACCCGTGATGCTCGTTTGGGGCCCTGAGTGCCTGCGATGCTTGCACGAATTGGGCCACAAGCGCCCGCAACCCTCGCATAAGTGAGGTGATGCTCTTGAGTGGGGCTGTGCGCATGCACACGCGCGCACCAGCCCGGTTTCAAATAGGCCATGCACTGGCAGTAGGCCACGGCTCACAGGTTGGAGACCCCTGCCCTAGAATACAACCCAACAGAAAAAAAAGAGAAAGATAATTTCAATGTCACTGCTTTGCTTGCTGTTTTGTATTCCAGTTCCCCCTTCGAAGCCCCTCTGCAGTTTTGGTTCAAGCCATCATTCTGATGTTGAACTTGGCCACTTGGTCACTTTAGCCTGCGTTTCGGAAGCCGGTCTGCCAAAGCCAGCCTACAAATGGTACCGACTAACTGGAGATAAAGTGCAGCCTGTCACTGAGACATACAGTGAGTAGCTTTCTCCTTCCAGTTCCTGGAAGATGCAACAATTCAGCATCTTTTTTGTTTGCATCTTGGTGACTAGAATTGGACACAATATTCCAAGGGTGGCCTCATCGCTTTTGTGGCACTGTTGAGGCCACACTTGGAATTCTGTGTCCAGTTTTGGTCACCATGATACAAAAAGATTTGACACTCTAGAGCAGGGGTTCTCAACTTTTCTAATGCCGCGACCCCATAATACAGTTCCCCATGTTGTGGTGACTCCCAACCACTTATACATCACCGGGTGCCAGGGGCATGGCCAAAGAAAAGGGGAGAAAAATGGTGGACAGCCTTGTTTGGCGACCCCCGTGAAATGGTCGTTTGACCCCAAATGGGGTTCCGACCCGCAGGTTGAGAACCACTGCTCTAGAGCAGGGGTTCTCAACCTTGGCAACTTTAAGACTTGTGGACTTCAACTCCCAGAATTCCTGGCTGAGGAATTCTGGGACTTGAAGTCCACAAGTGTTAAAGTTGCCAACGTTGAGGACCCCTGCTCTAGAACTTGATGATTAGGAGACTGGAGGCTAAAACATACAATGAACAGTTGCAGGAACTAGATATGTTTAGTCTAACGAAGAGAAGGAGTAAGGGGTGTTATGACAGCAATTTTCCAGTACTCGGCGGGCTGTCATAGAGAAAAGGAAGTTACTGTGTTTTCCCGTAAATAAGACTTATATTAATTTTTGCTCCAAAAGACGCATTAAGGCTTATTTTCCAGTTAAGTCTTACTTTCAGAGAAATACGGTACTAATTGCGTCCATCTGGCTGACGATCTTAACTGGAGCTTATTTTGGGAGTAGGGCTTATATTACAAGCATCCTGAAAAATCATGTTAGGGTTTATTTTCCGCTTAGGTCTTATTTGGGGGGAAACGGGGGTAATACAAGCTTTCAAACTTACATTAATATACTCTACAATAAAGTAGAATTCCTGAAATCTCTGCAGGGTCTGTTCCTTGACTCAGCCCACCTTAAGAAGCTGAGACTTCCCACCTTCCAAAATTATTATCAATACATTTATATGTGCTGCCCGTTATCTCGCTATCCAAGATCAAGGCCAGCACTAACTAGGTTCTAAGATGTGTGTTTAACACCCTGGCCTTCCTGCTGTCTTTCTTTCCAGACCCTTCCTCAGGACGCTTGGTTCTAGGCAACCTGACCCGATTTGAAGAAGGCTATTACCAATGTACAGCCATCAACATCCTTGGAAACAGCTCCTGTCACGTCGACCTCACCACAAAACGTTGAGTTTTGTCCTGCCTGTTCTACTTAGTTTCCAATATTTCTACATTGCTTCTTGTGTAAACCAGCCATTTACAATAAAAAACTATTTTAATAAAAGCACGGAAACACCAAAATTCTCAGGCTGGAAACCTGGTGACTGTGAGTTCCAGTTCTGCCTTAGCACAAAGCCAACTGGGCGACCTTGGGCCAGTCCCACTCTCTCAGCCCCAGGAAGAAGGCAATGGCAAACCACTTGTGAAAAACCCCTTGGCAAGGTTTTTCACAAGCGATTTGCCGTTGTGTCCTTCCCAAGGTTTTTCAGAAGCGATTTGCCATTGCGTCCTTCCCGGGGCTGAGAGAATGGGACTGGCCCAAGTTGGCTTTGGGCCAAGGAAGAACTAGAACTTAGAGTCCCTGGCTTCTAGCCTGATGCCTTAACTACTACAGACAGTTGGCTCTCTAATGATGGTTTACTTACTGGGTGTTGTGATTATTATATAATTTAGATGATTTTGTATAACTTGGGAAGTGTTTTTTTAAATCCTAATCTTACCGTATCGTTGAGCATCTTCTGAAGGGAACACCAGGGTAAAACTGTAAATGAATGGAAATGTAAACGAGGAGCCAAGTTCAGATGCTGTAAGTGTAACATGGGCTCAACCCAATCTTAGCCCTTGTCTTTTGTTTTGCGGAAGCCGTTTTTCCTTGGTCTTCATTCCTCAACAGAAAAAAGGAAAACATCAAGCTACCCATGAGATAGTTTTAAGGATAAAGCAGCACCCAGTTCCTGAAGATGTTTGGGAATCAACACATTTTCTTGAAGTCCTAACAGAATTGTAATAGAGATGTGATTGAATCGTTTCCTTTCGAGTGAAATCCAACCTAGAACTAAGGAGAAATGTCCTGGCAGCGAGAACAATTAATCAGTGGAACGGCTTGCCTTCAGAAGTTGTGGGTGCTACAACGCTGGAGGTTTTCAAGACGAGACTGGGCAGTGTTTTGTTCAGGGTGGTTAGGATCTCCTGCCATGGGCAAGGGGTTGGGGTGGAAGACCTCCATGGTCCTCTCCAATCCCATTATTCTATGTTGAGTTTGAATTACTGGGCCACCAAAAGGGCCCTGTAGTTACTCCATCACATTCATGAACTGAAAAGAGCTGGTTGGAATTCACACACTGAAAGGGCGCCATTTTGGTCCCTCAAGGGAAGCCCCCTTGATTTCAACAGCTGCCTTCACAAGGAACCCAAAATCAGGAGTTCTTCATCCTGCGGTGTTGTCCGAGGCAGAACGGCCAAATTTGCACATAGCACACTAAGCCAAACCGACAATATGTGCAAATCTTGCCAGGATGGATAAATCGGCTTTCCTATTCTTTAATCCACTCAGAAGTGTGATTTACCCGCTTCGCATCCTCTGCTAAGGAGCTTCTTGTAGAGATGACAGGAGTTTTTTCTCTCTCCCTGCAGATTCCGAAGGTGGCATCATTGTGGGAGCATTAATTGCGGCAATTCTAGCCGCTGCCTTGATATGTGTCGTTGGTTGGATTCTCATCTCCAGAGAGAAGAAGAAGAGGAGAAAGCAGAAACCTGATTCCAAGGAAATGCAGTAAGTTTGTCGAGAGAACTTTTTGGAAGAAAGCTTCCCTCTTCTCTGAAATTTGTCCTAAATCAGGTTGGCTCGTGGGTTTAATCCAGAGTTTGTTGGAACAAGAGTTTAGCAAATAAATCACAAATTTATTTTTCTCAGCACAGTGGCTGGATCCCAAGGTTAGGCTGTCAATGATGGGCCTTCAGTAGACTTGTAGAATCAGCCTCAATTGGCTGGCTTCATACATCAGACTAAGCTACATCCCTGGTGGACCAGCCATAGTAGCTAAGCCAAATCCGACTTCACAGGGTTCTTGTGGGAAAAATAGGAGGAAGGAATATTAGGTACGTTCATCACCTTAAGTTATTTATACAATAAGATAGGATAAAAAAAAATCTAAGAAAACCTCCCCAATAAGTAGCAAAGGATGTAATCCCAGGCTAAGAATTGCAATTTTTATGGGCACATAAAGGAACCAAGTTGAATTTATGAGTAACCAGGCAAGCTGCTGGATCATTAAATTAAAGGAAGATCAGTAAAAGCAGATCCAACCTAGAACTAAGGAACATTTCCTGGCAGCGAGAACAATTGATCAGTGGAACAGTTTTGCCTCCAGAAGTTGTGGGTGATCCATCACGGCAGTCTTTTAAGAAGAGCCTGGACAGCCATTTGTTTGGGGAGATATAAGTCTCCCGACTTGAGTAGAGGGTTGGACTAGATTCTAGAAGACCTCCAAGGTCCCTTCCAGGTCGATTATTCCATGTTTTATGTCAGAAGCTATGTAAGGTTAGACTGTTCGTTGCTTCATGGGAGACTGGCTAGGGACAGTGGGCTCATTGACTAGGCCCTCCAAGAAGGCAGGGATGGAGACCACCTCAATAACATTATCAGATAAAGTACATGGAGGCAGAGAGTGAAGTTCAAGTTGAGATTATATAAAAGTACTAGACTCATGTAAAACAGGAAAAATATAGTAATGTTGGATTAGCCTTAAAAGGGTCACTACAGCCTTCTCCAATCTAGCATCTCCTCCTGCCCTGGACTTCAATTCCCAGCATTCAGGAACGATGGAATTGCAATCTAAGACTCTTGAACTGGGAAAGACTACCCCGTTGAGCCTTTTCATAAAAGAGGTATTAGAATGGGCTTCTCCCGCAACATGCTATACTGAGAAAAATGCACATCCATCTAAACTTTTAAATTGTCTAACGCCTATGTGTATCTATCCATTTATCCATAGTATGGCTGCAGTATTATTTATCCTTCTTATCTTCTTTACTCCCATTGGTAGTGGTATTATTATTATTACTATTACTACTACTATTATTACTACAACAACTATTATTCTGTTGCTTTGCATGTGTACGGAGAGCTTCTGCACCGGAGACAAATTTCTTGTGATGTCTAATCACCATTGGCCAAATAAAGTATTCAATTTAATTTAATTCAATTCAACTTTTGTTTTTCTGCAGGCCTATGCCCACCAAGTCGGAATATGCTGCAGTGCCCAGCCAAGCCAGCGTTCCCATGGCTGCAGTCCCACCAAACCAGGAAGCTAATGAGATGGGAGAACATGGTAGCCCTGAAGGAGCCCAAATTGCCATATTGCCTGAAAATGAGATGCAGGAAATGGGCCATCAACCAATTTCCTAAAGCCAGCGGTTGCCCTAGGGAGAACCCTAAAAAACAGGCCATCTAATCATGAATTTGTACACCGATCCCGTATCTGTGGCTCTGAAATAGTGACACACTGGGCATTTGTGCCTAGTCATTTAAGATTGAATTTCTCCAGCCTTCTATTCATTTCATACGAGACCCATAATCTGACCAGATTCACACCACACGTGAAGATTGTCTAAAACAGCGGTTCTCAATCTATGGGTCGCAACCCCATTTGGGGTCGATTGACCATTTCACGGGGGTCGCCAAGCAAGGCTGTCCGCCATTTTTTTCTCCTTTTCCGACGGGTGCCTTACCTCCCTTGGGTTGGGCCAGCTGGTGGCCCAGCCGGTGGTCGGCCTGCTCCGTCTCTGCCGCTTGCCAGCTACGCCTCGGCCAGCGCAGGGGGCAGCACCACACATGCACAGCACTCCCGGGCAGGGAAAGTCCTCGACTTACGACCGGTTTAGTCCTCGACTTACGACTGGTTTAGTCCTCGACTTACGACTGGTTTAGTCCTCGACTTACGACCAGTTGGGGGTCGCGGCATTAAAAAGGTTGAGAACCACTGGTCTAAAACCATGATTTATTGAACAAACCACAGCAGCTGGGTACCTCAATCACAGAGGAGCACGCAGCTCTGGGGCTGATTAGTGCCCTGGTAGCCCCCTCTTTGCCTTTTAATTAATTTTAATAGCTGTTTCCCGTTAAATTCCTACCTTTCTTCTACGTTTTTAAACTTTTATATATACTGTTTTTAAAATTTAATATTTTATTGTAGGCCGCCCAGAGTCCCTCTTTGGGGAAGATGGGCAATTCAGAAATGTGAAAAATAAAGTACAGGGAATCCTTCACTTATGACCAGTCACGTAGCTGCAGTTTAAAGTAAAGGTGAACCCCCACTTCCAAAAGCTACTAAAGGATTCAGATTCTAAGTTCCGATGCCTGGGATCTCCACACAGTCGTGTGACGACATTTTGGGAGCTAGACATGCACTCTGCATTTAACAGGTGCTACAAAAGTTTTAAAATTGGGTGTGATCACGTGCTGCCCCGTTTTACCACCCAAACTGCAGTCGTCAAGTCTGTAAACCTATAATGTCATTAGATTGTCAATGCTGTGCTGGTTTAATCAAACTAGCCAGTCAGTCCCATAATTAATCCTTAACAAATGGTACAAACCCGGACGGTGGTTTAATTTTCAGTTCAGTTGGTTGTGCAAATCCCCCAAATGGTATTTACTTTACCAAACCGCAACTTGTTTGAATGCAATCACTTATTAAGCCTAAGGGCAGGGGTAGGCAACCTTGGCCCTTTTATGACTGGTGGACTTCAATTCCCAGAATTCCTGAGCCAGCATGGGGGAACTATGGCCCCCTCATGACTGGTGGACTTCAACTCCCAGAATTCCTGAGCCAGCCATGCTGAGGGGAAAGGGAGAGGTTTCCATGCTGAGCCATGCTGGCTCAGGAATTCTGGGAGTTGAAGTCCACGAGTCATAAAAGAGCCAAGGTTGCCTACCCCTGGCCTAAGGTGTGAATCTAGCATATAAAATTTACTAGTGTTAATTAACAAGAATTAGTTAACAGCCTCTGAGTTGCCTGACATGTGCATGATCAGCAGGACTGCGTTGCTTTAGATTCACAAACATCCACAAAGATATTTGCAAGAGCGAACAGCCTGCCTGTCTGCAACTCTTTAAAACAGCTATGTCTATCCCAGGGCGGAGCAGCAGTAGAAAAGACAAGACTGCTTTAAAAGTTGTAGTTAATGTTATAATGCACCACCCTACGCCCTGAGCATCTTTTTGTGCAGTTTGAATGCTTCAGTCATCATGCTTAATCCTCACTTCCCCCCCCAAAAAAGGCATTGTCAACAACCTCATGAGCTTTATAGAAACAGCCTCAATTTAGTAAAAAATATTTTTTTCTGTAACTTGCTTTTGGATACCTGGGGTATTTTTTTTTTTTTAAACCAAGCAGTAACACACGCTTGTTAGTCATCATTCAGCAGAGATCCCTGGGGTAGCTTTTCTTATGTAGAGCAGCATGAGAAGAACAGGGAACTGCTCAATTCTTTTGTTACTTCGAAGAACAATAAAATGTTTAAACAGAACCCTCTCTTGTTATGTTTCTTTGACAACAAGAACGTATGACAAAGTTGAAAAGTAACTTAAGAACATGATTCATTTCATAAGAGCGCTATAATAGGACTAAGAAGTCGTAGCTATACCATTCTGTTATCTTCAACTTTATTGCGGCATATAGACAGTCCTGTATACCCTCAAACCATCAGACAAGTGAGGTTGGGGTAGAAAAACACCGCCACAACTGGAAGTTCATAATCATTTATGGCAGTGGTGGCGAACCTATGGCACGGGTGCCAGAGGCGGCACGCACAGCCCTCTCTGTGGGCATGCGTGCTGTCGCCCCAGTCCTAGGCCTTCAGCTGGGTTTTATAAAACCTTTTCGCTTTAGGCCATCGCCACCGTGTACAAAAAAAAAGAGGTTCAATCAATCAGTCAATTTCAACTTCTCGTGGGAAAAAAAAAAGATCTTGCAAAGTTGGAATTGATTGATTGAACTTTTTAGTCCCACCCAGTCTGCCGTTACCACTGCAGCCACGCCCACCCAATGGGCCACACCTACCAACTGGCCATGCCCACCCAATTGGCCACACCTACCAACTGGCCATGCCCACCCAATTGGCCACACCTACCAACTGGCCACGCCCACCCAATTGGCCACACCTACCAACTGGCCATGCCCACCCAATGGGCCACACCCACCCGGCACTCGACGATGCATAAGTGGGGGTTTTGGGTTGCAGTTTGGGCACTCGGTCTCTAAAAGGTTCGCCATCACTGATTTATGGTATTAATATTAATATTAAGGGCTTTGGTTTAAACCAGTGTTCCTCCACATTAACACGTATGGACTTCAACTCCCAGAATTCCCATGCCCAATTCCGAAAGCTGAAATCCACACATCTTAAGAGTTGCCAAGTTTGAGAAATACTGGTTTAAAATACTGGTTTAAGTATTTAGTATTTTTGAGCTGGGGTGCTGGAAAAGGCTCCTCCGGTGTAGTCCTTGGATAGGAAAGGTGACCAAGAAGCAAGTCCTGGAGAGCATAACACCAGGCATGTCACTAGAAGGCAAAATCATAAAACTGTCTGATCTATTTTAGGGGAAAAAGTGGGAGAATTCATTGAAGAAAGGCATGATGCTCAGAAGAGGTAGCAGTAAAAGGAAACCAGGCCACCAAAGAACACAAGGGCTGGACACCATCAAAGCTGACGCCAGCCAGATCATAGAAAAAAACTCAAAGAAGCAGTGCAAAATCGGAAGACGTGGACAGACATGGCCCACAGAATCGCCACGAGTTGGACACAATGAATGGATAAACATCATCATCATCATTAATAAACATTTCATTATTATGTTAAGCCTTCAGGAATACTTAAAAATGATCTCGAGCAGTAATTCTTTTAATAAGCAGTTTGCTGAAACCACAAAATTAGCCACAAAAACGGTTCTGGCAAATAAGTCCAAGAAGCTCCACAATGTCAACTACATTAGCTTTTATTCACAAGAAACAATTTATGCTACCTGCACCTTTCCCGAACTAACTTTAAATCTATCCACTTTCTTCCCATAATGCTCCGCTCCAATCACTTCCTGCATACAGGAGGGAACAGGCTGAAGCCAAAAAGATAACTTGCAAAAAGTCTCCAAAAATATCCCAACAAAAAAAATCCAGGGAGGCAGCTGCAGGCAGTGGCCCTCTGAGTATCATTAAGGTACAATCCCAGAATCCTCTACTGCTGGCAGTTGGCTGCTGGAGATTGTAGTTCAGCCACTTCCGGAGGATAAGAGATTCTGCAGCTTTGAATTTTGGCCAAGTTTGCTCAATTTCTGAGCCACCACATGTGAGCACCAGCTTTTGACTTTGACTTAATAGACAAGACGATGACCTGAAGGAATAAAACAGGGGGTCCCCCAACTCCTGGACTGTGGTCCATTACCGGGCCTTGAGCTGTTCAGAGCGGGGCCACAGAAGTGGTGGGCAGCGCACAACCCCACTTGTATGAGCAGGTGCACGTGGGCGTGACATTTGCATGAGCGGCAGGCGCATGGGCCCGCCACTCGCGCAAATGGAGCCGCACGCACGTGTGCGCTTCCCCACCGGTCCGCTGACCCTCTCCCCTACAGTTTTGGGAACTCTGGAATTCACATGTAACAATCTTCATTCTACCTCTTCTTGAAAGATGAGAGAGCAGGTTCCCAAAGTGGTTTTCTATACGAAAGCAGACGGAAAGCGTTCTCTTGAAACTACTCTCCAAGAGGACCACTAGAGTTGGCAAAAACTGCCAACACAAGGAGATTTTTTTGGGGAGAACGGTCACTGAAGACATGGGAAAGTACAGAGTAGCTACAGTGCAATAAAAAAATTCAATATGAACAGTCTTCAATTGTTTTGTCCAGAATGGAATTTAGGTTGCCCGCAGCAGCTACCCCTCAACTAGCCTCCTGAGGATGGATCCCAGCCCTCCTTTTGCAACCTGCAGAGGGGTTTTTTCTTCTTTGTTCTCAATGTAGATACTTGCACCATGGGCCACCAGCAGCTTCGCTTCCTCCACCCTCTCTTCATCGCAGGCTAAGTGGCTGTCAAGGAAATCAAGAATTACTCCCTTCCTTTTACAGACTCAGTTTCAGCATATTTCTTCTCCAGGGTTAAGGCTTGCCAATTGATTCATTAAATTTATGCACTGCCTATCAAGTCACTCAGGTAAAAATGTTTTTTTTTAACGTTTTTTAAATTTAAATGAGAACTTTAAAAACAGGATTTATGACGAGGTGATTAAGGTGATTAATTTAAAAAAAGAAGCTTCTTACTGATGTGGTTGTTACTTGTAGAAATACTGGAAAAATGTCTACATTCAGTTGTTATCTACTAAAATTATTAAGAAATGTACTAATTTAAGGTTGATAAAAGAGAGTATTGTTGGAAGAAGAGAAAATCAAGGAAAGCTACTATGTGGAGTAGGGAACTACAGAAACTAATTGTTATTGTTTGTAAATATAAACCCAGACAACATGCTGTTTGCCAAATATTAATGGTAATTATATTAAAATATTAATAATATATATATTTTTAAAGTCACTTTTTGCAGCGCCACTGTAACTTAGAACAGTTCGTTTACTGACTGTACAAAGTCGAGGAGTATCTGTAAGTGACTGTTTTACGGTGGGATAAACTGCCCGAGCCTTATAATAAATAAATACTTCCATCCTTACAGAGGTGTGTTTCCTTCGGAGTCCTGTAAGTTGACCGAAGCTTTGTGTTTCAGAAGCAGCTCTGTCATTTTGAGGTTCCCTTTGGAGGCCGCTCTGTGTAACGGTGTGGAGGCCAAGTGATCCTTTGCGTCTGGATTGGCCTTGTTCTCCAGCAGCATCAGCGCAATCTATTGTCGAGAGAAGAAAAGGATGACCAAACCATTTGCTTTTAAGCAGGGAAAAACAACAAGGGCCACAAAGCAAAATCTAACTGATAAAGGAGAAAAGATATAAAGAACACAAGTCAGCCGTCAGACCTGAACTCAACTGGTAGCCTCACAATGCAATGAACGAGGACATACATTCAATTTTGCAGCTACTGTACTAAGATTGTTGGACGAGCAGGCACAAAAACAGCCAGGGAAGTGATGGAAGCCTGGGAAATGGGCCCATGGTCAGTCAATAGAAGGGCTGATTTACCCCTAGTGTATCAAGTACTTAGGAGGTGAGGGCTGGGCAGCACAAGGAAACAACAGCCAACAACTTAATAGCCAGCCATCAACACCCCAATCAACATCTAAAAAGCCACATACAACAGGGTTCATTTAAATACCACACATAGAACAGCCCAAAGTTCTGCTACAGAAAAGTTCTCTGAAGATGGGCCCCAGCATGAGTCCCAAAAGCTCGGAAGACAAAAAGCTCTGTCCTGGTGACCGACCCAGATTGGATCCTACACTATCCTGGGACACGTAGATTCACCTTCATTTGTGAAAGACTATAAAGACTAGCACTGAGGATGCTACCTAGTTTGGTAATGAAAACGTCTGCAAGAAAACAACCCAGCTCAGAGCGCACCCAGGACCCCTCAAAATCTAACCTCCTGCTTATTCTTCGACGCGGCATAATGCAGAGGGGTGCAGCCATTCTGATTAACGGCGTTCACCTGAGCTCCTTTCTGAAGGAGAGCTTTCACGATTTCATCCCGGCCAGCCGATGCGGCAATATGCAAAGGGCTCCAGCCAGCCTGGAGAAAGAAAGAAAGAAAGAAAAAAGACTATAGATCAGAGGTCCCCAACCTTTTGGGCACCAGGGACCAGTTCTGTGGGGAGAGGTTTTTCTGCGGACCAGAGAGTGCGTGGTTTTGTGTGCTGCCTGCATCCCGCAGATGGGGCTTTGCTTGTTCATGTGGCCCAGTTGCTGGCATGCTGCGGCCCAGTGCTGGTCTGTGGCCTGGGGTTGGGGACCCCTGCTATAGATAATTACAAAAGATTTCCAATTTCCTCTCTGCAGGCACGGTGCTATAGGACCAGGCACTCGCTGGTGCCTTTGGCTCCCTTGCCTTCTGGAATGTAAGAACGCAAATCAAGTAGTCCACGGATATTTGAGTTATTTAGGGGCTGAGAGGGCATGACGGGTCAGCAGTTAAACGCACTGAGCTTGTCAGCTGGAAAACTGACAGCCTGGGTTTGAGACCTGAGCGCCGCATGATGGGGGGAGTGCCCGTTCCTTCCTCCAGCTCCTGCCCACCTAGCAGTTCAAAAGCATGCAAATGAGAGTAGGTAAAGCAGGTACCACTCCAGTGGGAAGGTAACAGCGTTCTGACCATGGAAGCACCTTTGGACAATGCTGGCTGCCTTGGTTAAGAAACAGAGATGAGCAGTGCCCCCTAGAGTAAACACGACTGGATAGGGCAGGGGTTGGCAACCTTAAACACTCAAAGAGCCACATGGACCAATTTCCCAGAGAAAAGAAAACACTGGGAGCTGCAAAACTTGCGCGCACACGCGGGAGGGGGGGAGCTTGATTGAAGAGTTTAATTAAAAAGAAATAGAGAAATAGATTGAAGAGTTTAATTAAAAAGAAATAGAGAATGCATGAGTTCTCTCTCTCTCCTTCTCTCTCTCTTTCCTCTTTCCCTCTTTCTCTCTCTCTTTCCTCTCTCCCTCTCTCTCTCCCCCCCTCTCCCTCTCTCTGATCTTCTGCTCACCTGGCAAGCTGGCTTCATGCTGTTCTCCGACAAGCTGACACACATTCTTATTGGGCTGGCTCTCTCCTGCCCTTGGTCTGCCAATCCTCTTCCCCTACTCAGTGTGTGTGTGTGTGTGTGTGTGTGTGTGTGTGTGTGTGTGTGAGAGAGAGAGAGAGAGAGAGAGAGAGAGAGAGAGAGAGAGGGTGCTGCTACTTTCTGCTGCTCCTCCTTTCTGCCGAGATGCAGCAAAGGCAGGAGCCCTGCCCAATAAGCTCCAGAGCCGCGGGTTGCCAACCTTTGGGACAGGGGAAACTTTACCTTTAGGGGCAGATATGGGGGAAGCATGACCAGGTATTTCCCTCAGACCTTTCATGGTGGGAAGAAGAAACTGGGGTTGGAGGAAAGTGCAGGCTACTGACAGCTGTCATCTGATTCACGGAGAGGACCCTATTCAGACCTGCTCTTTCAGAAGACAGATAGGAGAAAGTGTGGGGTAGATGAATTCCTAAGCAGCTGGGGCTTAAAGGAGGAACTCTTTTTGGGAAAATACATACAGGGCAGTCAAGGCAAAGCCCAGTTTGCAAGGATCGGCTGGGAGGGTTGACCAAGTTAGGACTATGACCTGGAGGGGCTCCCTCCATATTCAGTAAGCAAGCGGCACAGTTATTAAGTGAATGCTGTGGTCATTAATGGTCGTGATGGGGCAGTTTTTGCTGAAAGCTGGAAATAAACACAGATTTCCAGAAAAACATCATAAATCAGCCATGTGCCCACAGGGCACTGCAACAGCTCCACGGCTGGTTACAGACTGTGCAAAATGTGATCACAGGGGGAGGGGCAGGCATCAGAACTTGAACACCTGTTTGTAAGTCCCATTTTCAGGGTTTATCGTAGCTTCAAACAGTTGCTAGGTGACCAGTTGTAAGTCAAGGATTACCTGTACTTGGTCATTCCTCATTCATGAAGCATGTAAGTTCTATTTTACGTTAGGAAGAGTTTTCAGTTTGGTGTCGTTCCCACATAAAAGCTACAGAACGTATTCCAGGCAAGCAGAAAGGACTTAAAAGCTTCCTTCCAAAATGAGAATGCTACCCTGGTAGGAATCTGACATCTTCAGATTAAAAAAAAAAATACATGCAGTCCTCGACTTACAACAGTTCATTCAGTGCCCGCTCAGTTACAATGGCACTGAGTTATGACCATTTTTTTAACTTACGACTGTTGCAATATCTGTGTCAATGCTGCAAATACTGTATATTCTTGCTTTGACAATATGCAAAACTGTCTGGCATTTATTGGGTTAATACTTAGCTTAGACAGAGCGGGGGGGGGGGGGAAAGCCTGGGAAAGAAAGAGGAAGTAAACGTTTGACCTTCTCACTAATTGGATAATGTGACCTGTGACTGCATGAGAAGGGAGGGGTTGAGCAAGGAAAGCTTGATGCCAGCGACAGGAAGTTCAGATTCTGGCATTAACCAGTCCAACATGGTGACCGGCAAAATTTGTAGCTCTGCAAATAAAGACTTTAGGAAACATGCCTGAAAGTTCTTTGAAGTGCTTCATTAGTCGGAACATGTGACAATCTGCACGTGATCACTGGACACTTAGCAACTGACTCATATTTATGACGGCTGCAGTGTCCTGAGCTCATGTCACCCCCTTCTGACAAGCAAAGTCAATGAGCGAGCCAGATTCACTTAACGACCGTGTTACCAACTTAACAACTGCAGTGATTCACTTAACAACCATGGCAAGAAAAATCATACAACGGGGCAATATTCACTTAACAAGTGTCTCACTTAGCAACACAAAACTTTGGCTCAATTTGTGGTTGTAAGTTGAGGACTTACAACCCGCCAACTACTGAGATCAAGAACCACAGCAGTGCACTCTTGCTAACTACCAATAATGGTTACGTCAACTAAGAGTTCCTAGCAGGAAACAAGATGGCAGAAAAGTACACAGCCTATCAATAGTTTGTAAATAGAAAATATTTAATATTATAAAATATTATAATGCCTTGGTAAGGCCACACTTGGAATATTGCATCCAGTTTTGGTCACCACAATGTAAAAAACAGCTGAGACTCTAGAAAGAGTGCAGAGAAGAGCAACAAACATGATCAGGAGACTGGAGGCTAAAACATATAAGGAACGGTTGCTGGAATTGGGTATGTCTAATTTAATGATGAGAACGACAAGGGGGGACATGATAGCAGTCTTCCAATATCTCAGGGGCTGCCACAAAGAAGAGGGAGTCAAGCTATTCTCCAAAGCGCCTGAAGGCAAGACAAGAAGCAATGGGTGGAAACTAAGCAAGGAGAGAAGCAACCTAGAACTAAGGAGAAACTTCCTGACAGTTAGAATAATTAACCAGTGGAACAACCTGCCTCCAGAAGCGGTGAATGCTCCAACACTGGAAGTTTTTAAGAAGAGACTGGACAGCCATTTGTCCGAAATGGTGTAGGGTTTCCTGCCTGAGCAGGGGGTTGGACTCGATGACCTCCAAGGTCCCTTCCAACTTTTATTATTATTATTATTATTACTATTATTATTATTATTATTATATAAATAAAGAGCGATACTTACATCATCCTTGTCATTAACAGGCACCCCCAGGCTTAGCAAAAAGTCAACGACATCCAAATGACCAGCTGAACATGCCCAATGTAGAGCTGTCCTATTGTCCTGAATGGAGATTATGGACACAGGAAAAAAAAATGGAGATAAGTGCTTTTTGTTTACAGATGTGAAGTCAACTGATACATGCTCCCATAAAGAGACCACTTCATCCTTCAAAGCAGCTTTCCCTAAATCAAAACCCCTCCAAATAAGTGAACTTCAGTTCCCAGAATTGCCCAGACTGCAGCTTGAGGAAGTTTTCTCTCTGTAGGTCTCTCCTTTCACTTTATAATAAAGTTGCTGCTGTTTAAGAAGTATCTCAAACAAGCCGGTATGTACAAACATTGTTGTATTTTGCGCATAAAATCCTCAAGAAAAACATTTAAATTCAGAATGCTGATCTTGAATTCTGATGAAAATGGGGTGGGGGTGGGGGAAATGGTAAGAAAGATGCTTATGAAAATTAGTCTATGTCAACAGTACAAATATTGGCTATAGACTTGATAAACCTAATAGTTTTGAACGCTTTTATCCAAAATTGGATATGGAATATACCACTACCGACTGCATCAAAGTATTTGTGGTACAAAAATGGCTTTGGTCTTGATTCCTTAATATTACAATCTCCATTGTATTATTTGTACATGTTGAAAAAAACATGGTTTATTGAATATGCCACAATGCACTGTTAAGTCACGATGCCTGATGCCGGCTTAGTGCACTGGGCCAACTCGGTGGTTGGGAAGCCATATTTAAGCCGTGCAAAACAAGCCTATAGAGGTCTGCGCAACAAGCCAGGATCCCATAAACCATGGTTTGCGTCAAAGCCACCAAGCCCGGCCACGCTCTCTTCCCGCCTGCCGGGCCAACCTGATCGGCTCGCGTCGCCAGGCTCCGGTTGGCGACCAGCCGCTCCCTGACCTCCTCCAGCAGCCCCGCGTAAGCCAAGTTGCAGAGCTCCACGTTAGAGACGCTCCCACCGCCCTCTTGTCCCTCCATGCCGGAGACTGAAGATTTCCCCGTGCGCGCCTGCGCAGACTCCCCGACTCGGGAGGGGGCGGAGCCGACCGTCCCCGCGCCACCAATCCCGAGGGGCGATCGCCAGGCGAGCGACCAATAGCCGAGGCGTCTCCTCCCCCCGGCCCAGCCCCTCCCACTTCCCCGAACGTGGGCTTCTCTCGCGCGCAGGCGCCGCAGAAAGCATCCGAGGGGCCGATGGGAACTGGAGTGCAGGGGCGCGCGGTGGAGACCACAACTCCCGGCGTGCGCCGCGCGGAGCAGACAGCCGTCGTCGTGTTGTTTTCCGTGGGGAGGAGGAGGAGGAGGAGGCTGGGCGCCGCCGCCTGAGGGAAAGAAAGGAAGCGGCCGAAGGAGGCGGCGGCGCGGAGATGAGAGGATGGTGGTGGCGGTGACGCGGAAGGAGGATGGAGTCTGGTGAGGCCCGGCCTTGCTCAGGGAGCGGATCCCCTCTCGGGGCGGGAGGGGAGCCGGGCGAGGCAGAAATGTTCTCCCCTTCTCAGGTTCAGCCCTCCAAGCCCTCTTCGAGCAGCTGTCATCAGCCTGACGTTGAACTCCAACTCCCATCGTCCCCGGCCAGCCCCCCCCCGCTTTCCCCAGCATCGTCAGATTGGACTTCTTTCCCCATCATCCTCAGCCACTGTGGCTCTAGACACACCCTCCCCAAGACATCGGCTCCCAAACAGGTTGGACTCCGCTCCCATCATCCTCAGCCACCACGGCCGTTAAAGGCTTTCCCAATCTTTTACCTTCCAGAGGGCTTGGATTCCTGTCCCATCATCCTCAGCCAACACGACCGTTAGAGGCTTTCCCAATCTGCTATCTTCCAGAGGGCTTGGACTCCTCTCCCATCATCCTCAGCCGACAAGTCTGTTTAAAGAGCTTTCTTAGGCGGGTATCTTCCGAAGTGGTTGGACTCTTCTCCCATCATCCTCAGCCATTTAAAGGGCTTCCCTATCCTGGTATCTTCCAGAGGGGTTGGACTCTGCTCCCATCATCCTCAGCCACTTAAAAGGCTTCGCCAGCCCGGTATCTTCCAGACAGGTTGGACTCCGCTCCCATCATCCTCAGCCAACAAGGCTGTTCAAAGAGCTTCCCCGAGAGTTTGAACTCCTCACCCATCATCCTCAGCCAACAAGGCTGGGGAGTAGAAAAAGATGAGTTCCTGAGTGACAAGCAAGGGATAATTTAAATATATATCTATGCTGGTCTGTGGCTTAGTGGGAATTGTTTGAGGATAGATAGAAGAAACTTAACAATAGATGGAAAGGAAAAGGTTACAGCATATGGATGTTTCCCAAAGCTAGGTAAATTATGGAAAATTTGAGTAAAAGTGCTTTTTCTTTCTGCAATGACCCATGACCCCATTTCCCAATCACACCAGGGATATTTAAACTGACTTAAATGATTTCACCTACATTAAGTAAAAAAAAAAGATTCTGATAAGGGGCATTGGGTAACAAAGTTTGGGAAGCAGTGCAGTGAATAAATAACCACGGCAGAATCTATAACTGGCTTCAACTCCATTCTAACTCCAGTGGTCAGTTTTTTTTAGACCCAATAAATTTCGTAGACCCGACATGGGCTTTTGGTTTGCTTGCTTTGAATTCCAGTCCTGTACATCAGGCAGCTGGGGCAATCGGGTGAAATTCCCAAGCTGACAATTGCAGTGCTTATGTACATTTTGGCAACCACCTGAAGCATGTGGCATGAACTTGTTGCAGTCTGCACAATCTAGCATGGAAAAACAATGTCAGCACTATAGGGTTGAGAGAGATGTATAAAGGTCTCCCAGTGCATTGGTGATGGAAGTGAAGTTCAAGCAAGTGAGCTCTTGAGTTCTTTTTCAATCTCCTAGAGTAGACCCAGTTATTTCCTTACCTTGGGAAATAGATGCACCAAGGAGAGGTTAACAAACTTGCGGTACGGAATGATGTTACAAAATGAACAAAGAACTCCATGAAGTTGTATAAAAAAAATAGACCAGAATGACCAATACTGTTTAAGAATTTAGGAGATTGTAGTGTCTAGGAGTGAGAGAGAGGGGGGGGGGGAGAAGAGACAGAGTGATGTAGTGGTTAAGGCACAAGGCTAGAAACTGGGAAGCTGTCGGTTCTAATCCTGCCTTAGGCACGAAGACAGCTGGGTGAATTTGGGCCAGTCCCTCTACCGTATGTCTGTCCCAGGAAGAAGGCTGCAAGGGAAAACCAGTTTGGAAATCCAGCCAAGAAAATGACCGGGACTTGTCCAAGCAATTGCCAGCAGTCAACACTGACTTGAAAGCACTAAAAATAAATTAAGTGTCTGAAAAACAAAGGCAGCTCCATTTATATAACATAAACTTAGCCAGAGTTTTTCTGAGTTAAACTATTTCTTTTCAGGTGGGGCTGCAACTATTACAGCAATTTTAGCCAGTGGAGAATACCTGCCATGGTGTGCAGTAACAAAAAATTATTATTCCCTATGAAAGCTTCAGATAAATACCACACTTTACTGTTCAATTGTAAAACGTTTTTTTTTTTAAAGAATTGGTTATTTTTACATGGCCGGCTTGCATCAACTTTATCTCAGTAGCAGATTTTTAATATTAAGCTATGCTGTTTTAAATATCAATATCTGTTTTTTGTTGATTTGAAATTAATACTTGGCGTTAAATATAATTTTTTGTTATTGAAATAAGTTGGAGAGGGGACTTGTACAGGATTTTAAATATGTAAATTGTGACTACAATCACAAGTACAGTGTTGGTATTCTTCCTACTCCCGTGTAGGGAGAATTTGCATGTGTGGGCACATGATAGAGGCATAGGGTATGAAGAGAGAGTTTTCTAGTTAGATCTGTGTGTAAAGTAGTTAGAAGGCAGAAAGATTTTTGCCCATTGGAGAGTCTTCTAAATGCATTTTTAGTTGACCTTTCAGCGATTTAGTATCAGATTCATCTGGTTGTAGGGGGCAATTTTCTGAAAGTATTATAGGAAAAACATTGTCCCTTAAAGTCTATTATTCGGATTTAGGTACAAATGCTTGGTTATCTTGCATACAACTGCACCTGTCTTCCCCTTAGATTCCGTCATTTGATGATCATAATGATTCTAAACGTCTTAATATGTTCTGTGAATAAATGAGGTGCTTTTACTTGTTAGGGACTAAAAGTGAAGCTGTTTCTTTTACTCTTTAGGCCTGCTGTCTTCATCTGTTGTCCAAAATATTGGGTCCACATCCTAGAATTAGCATGGGGGGGGGGGTTTACTGCCCTGATAGATTGGGAGGGCACCAGGTTAAGAAAGACTAGATTGTGGTCAACCACTACAGTGCCAACAGTTGCTCAGTATTGTATTCTCAGCACATTTGGGAGGCTCAGGGATAGAGCAGAGTAATCTTACATTAAAGATCTGAAAAACAATAAGCATGAACGTTGCAACTATTAAATGTTACAGTGTAAGAGATTTAGGGTGAAGATAAAGACACTCTATCCTTTTTGTTTGCAAAGTATTCATAATACAGGGTGTCTAGGATTTGTAATTATATTCCGCTTTTTGGACTTGGGTCAAAGTAACTTAACTGTTTTTTAATATGGCACATCAAGTTTTCTCAGGCAGCAGTGTGTAGGTTTAACAGATGATTCTGTTCCAATGTGAAGTCCTTCCACTGGGTACTTTCAGTCTAGAGTCATAGGTATCGAGGTAGCCGTAATGATTCTTAGGTGTCAAATGTGCATTATGGAGTCCCCAAGCTCTGCCCTTTTATACTTGTGTGTCAAGTCCAAAAGATCTGAGGAGCAAAGTTCATGTTGTGACACATGCTTTATCCCTTGTTCCTTGTAGACACTCATGGGGAGGGGAAGACGGATGACTTCTAATTCCCAAATGCTCTAGAAACTGCTGCAGAGGTCATAGGGGAATCTGCTTCTCCTGGCTAGTCAATACAGTTGGGCTATTGCATAAGGTTTATATATAGCTGTCCACAAGCAGATAATGTTTGGCACTTCTTAAGTAACCAGTTATTGGATTCTGATGCTGGAGGCATTACCTCTGCCATTAATGCTAATGAGAGATGAAACCAAGGAGCCAAGCCTGCATCTTGGTGGCGTAAATTATGAGAATTTGAGACAACCACATTTTTTTAAAAGTGCAGTTTTAAAGTTGAAATATGAGCACTTAGAATGCTTCCTTTCTTGCTGGAAAAATAATTGGGACTTGGCAAATGGGAGTCTAATCTGAATGGTTTTCCTGGAAGATATTAATGTGCCAAAGCTTAGCTCATGGATGACATCACGGTCCTTGGTGTAGCGTCAATCTGAACTTGCAAGGAGCAGCATAAACATGTTTTCAAGCATGGGGAATTCAACAATAAAATGTCTACATTGTTTTTGTTTTATTTATGCAACCTTATTATTCCCTTGTGTGCCTTCCAAGAAACTCGTTCTAGTAATTATAATTAATATGTAAGCTGCTTGTCACATTCTTTCTGCTTTAAAAAAAAACCCACAGTTTTCAAAATATCTTTTATTACTGGTATTGGTGAGAATTGAATTAAGCTTTTAGGACACCTTCCAGCACATATTCTACTTTAGTTGTAAAGCACGGTGTGTCTTAGGACCTTAGACATAGGCTTGTGCTGAAAACGAAAGGCGCACACTTTTGTCCTTTTAAAGCATTTTGTGTTTCAGAGGACTTTTGAGGCCATTTTCATCTCTTTAAATTATTTGGTTATGTTTACTTGGTGGAAAGAACTCAAAGCAGGTCACCAGTGGTGCTTTTTCCAAAAGGGAACTGGACTTTTTTTTTTGTTTTTTTTTCTTTGAAAATGATTCCCCATGAGTCAGAACTGAAGAAGCTTCTTGGATGAGAAGCGAAACATTTTCAAAGAAAAAAAAAACCCCAAGAAAGTCCAGTTGCCTTTTGGGAAAAAAAAGCACCTTTAGGACAACCATGATCTGGATGGTTGAGAATCTCCACAGACAAACCCAAAGCAGTATTTATCGGTATATTTAATTCCATTTTGGATTAGA